GTCTGGATGCCGGGGGTCAGCCAATGGCCAATCCCCTCCAATTCCCTTGTGCCTCACCCAGGTTTGGGTGCCCCGTGTGGGCGAGTCCCCCATCCCCGCCCTCCGCTGGCTCGGGCTCGGTGGCCGCTGCGTGGCCCGCCCGCGTTGGGGACGTGGCTCTGGTTGGGTCGGGGTAGCGTTAAGTCGGGCCTGTCCCTCGACAGGAGGCATATTCAAAAATAGTAAAGCGCAGATCTGGCTTTGAACGTCCCCCGTCCAGCTTTGGTCAACGGAGGCGGAGAGGACGTTTGGTGGAACTGCTGCATGCAGCTGCTTTCGGCCCTGCCGCGGTGCGTTCGTGGGCTGGCTAATAAAATCCAGCCGCCAGAATTGATGATTTAAGCTTCTGCCCCCCGGCAATGGCAATTGTTCTGCCGTCGTAGTCGTCGTCGTCGTCGTCATCGTTGTCGTCGTCGTTGTCGCCGTCGTCGTCACCGTTGTCGTCGTCGTCGTTGTCGTAGTCGTCGCCGTCGTCGTCGTCGTCGCTGTCGTCGTCGTCGTCAGCGTCAGCGTCCGTCGTCGTTTTCGTCGTCGTTGGCGTCGTCGTCGTCGTCGTCGCCCTCGTCCCAGTTTTCGTCCCCATTCTCATTCTCGTCCTCGTCGTCGTCGCCGTCGTCGTCGTCGTCGACTACGGGGCCTACGCAGCACCCCTCCATATCCCCCCCGATAGGGCATCCGCAGTGCGTCGTCGCTGTCTTTGTCGTCGTCGTCCGTCGTCGTCGTCACCCTCGTCCCTGTCCTCATCCTCATCCTCGTCGTCGTCGTTGTCGTCGTCCTCGTTGTCGTCGTCGTGTCGTCGTCGTCGAGTACAGCGTGCCTACTCAGCACCCCTCCCGCACGCAGCACCATCCCCCATAGGGCATCCGCAGTGTCGTCGACGTCGTCGTCGCCGTCGTCGTCGTCGCCGTCCTCGTCGTCCTCGTCCTCGTCCCCATCGTCATCCTCGTCCTCGTCGTCGTCGTCTTCGTCGAATGCAGCGGGCCTACGCAGCACCCCCTCCAATAGGGCATCCGCATTGCGTCGTCGTCGCCGACGTCGTCAGTCGCCGTCGTTGTCGTTCTCGTCGTCGTCCTTGTCCTCATCCTCGTCCTCGTCGTCGTCGTCGTTGTCGTCGTCTTCGTCGTCGTGCTTCTGGTTGGCGCAGTCGCCCTTGCGGACGACTGCGGCGACCGGGAGGAGCAGGAGGAGCAGGAGGAGGAGCAGGAGGAGGAGGAAGCTGAGGAGGGGGCGGATGAGGGGGAGGGGGAGGAAGACGAGCTAGGTGCGCTCGCGTTATATCTGACGTCCTACCCCTCCCTCCCATCCTTTACCATGGCGTACATACACTCTCTATTCGCACAGTCGGATGTCGAGCAGGGCAATGATCGCGAGATGGTACGCGATGCATGGTAGAGCACGGCATGGCATGGCGTAGAAGAGCACGGCAGAGCGTAGCATGCCGTAGCATGGTGCGGCATTGCGCGGTGAAGCATTGCATCACAAAGCATTGCAACGCAAATTAGGGCATCGCACAGCGGCGCAGAACACAACACCGCACAGCATGTCATGGTATGGCGCTGGGTTCTTTGGAGGGTACTTGGATCGTCTTCGAGAGGTCTGGGCCTGTCTGGAGTCGTGGATCCATGTCTAGCTCCTTGGGCTCCCCGAAATGCTCCACACAAGGCGGGGCTGATGGAGAGCACCCTCTGGCTCTGCTTTCAACATCGCCTTATCAAAGCAGAAACGGGGCTCCCGCTTGGTACTTCCTGAAAGCGACGACGCCCCAAAGTGGTGGGGACTACTGCGGCCCAAAATATCAACGAATCGACACCGAATGCGTAATCACTTTCGATGGTTTGTTCGGGGGGCCCTTTTTTAGATTTTCGGGCCTACTCGGAAGATCCGCAAACGCCCGCGCTGCAGCGGGAGCACGATTGGAACAACGGGAGCAACATTGCGAAACAAACACCGAGCGCAAACCCAATGACCGGGAGTCCTGTGTGTAAAAAACAGTGCGCGGAGGGGGGCCAGGCATCTCCCGGACGTCATCAGTGGAGAGAGAAGAGTTCTATTCATACAGTCAACCCGCACAGTAAGGATGAGCGACTTACCAAGGGTACCCTTTGCCCTTGCCACTTTCGAAGGCCAGCCCCGCTCGAAGAGCCTCGGCAGGGGCGTCCAAGGCCCTTGCAGCCTTACCGCGCATCCTTACTGTACGGGTTGACCGTATCGTGAAACTGTGGAGGAGGAGGAGGAGGAGGAGGAGGAGGAGGAGGAGGAGGAGGAGGGAGGAGGAGGAGGACGAGGGAGGAAGGAGGAAGGAGGAGGAGGAGGAGGACGAGGAGGAGGGGGAAGAGGAGGAGGAGGAGGAGGAGGAGGTCAAGGCATTTTGTGCCTCAGTGGCTCGCGAACTTTTTTGGCGGCCCCTCGTGCGCTCCCCATGGCCTCCCAGACAGCCGGGGGATGGTCCGCCCTCCGTCGGCCTGCGCCCTCCCTCCCCTGTTGTTGGGGGGCCACCGGGACGGCGAGATTTCACGCCGGTCGTTTTGAAAGTACAGTGCCGTTTTTAGTACATGCTCCGCGTGCGGATCATGTATTACACATGCAGGGATTTAGTTTTAACAGCGATGAGTTCATACATGAATTTATTCATAAATCGACCATGTATTAAAATCCTGTGTTTTTGAACATCCCATGTATTAAAAAAACTGCCCTATAGGTTTTGGATTCCCAGATCCCAAAGAGAGTTTTGAAAATAGAGTTTTTGTGTTTATGTCCTTGTCTGTTCCCCTACTTTTATGTCTCGGTGGCGCCTCGCCGAAAAATTAGCTCGTCTCCTCCTCTTCCTCCTCCTGCCCCCCGGCTGGCTTGTTCGGTGCGGCCCAGGGCCTCCGACCCCCCAAAACACCTGTGGCTGGCAGGTTCTAGCCCTGTCCGCTCGAGGTGTCCGATCCTCCCTGCCCCCCTCCTACACGCCGGTCGTTGAAAGTAATTATTTTTGGATTCCCAGATCCCAATCTACTTCAAGCGCCTTCCCACTTCAAGACTCGGCATGATTTTGCCGTGTTCTGTTATTCTCTAGGAGGGCCTGGGCCCAATCCACTTTGTCCGCCTTCCTACTTCATATTTTTGCCTACTTCTTCCGACCGACGTGTATTTGTCATTCGTCCGCCCCTGATTTTTCTGTCAAGCCGCTTGCTCCCATCACAGGTCCGATCGATTCGATTCGATATCTGTTCTGGCCAGCTCGGTGCGACGCGATTCCGGTATTCCGACGATCTCTTGCTGCATGATGCGGGCATGGCGTTATTGTGCACCTTGCCGACAACGTGTTGTTTCTTGACAGCCCGTTACAAAGTTGTACCCAGCTCTGATTTTGGTGAAGTTTGGTGGTTCCTTTTCGTCACCTCAGGGGTGATCAATGCCTGCATCCCTGAAGCATCTTGTGTTAATGTAATCGGGCGCCGGCTGGCCTACTGTTCTCTGAGTAACATCTGGCGGCATGTCTTGAGGTTGTATACCGAATGGCGAGGATGTAGAAGCGCATCGCAGGACGGCCAGAAAATTGCATGAGCCGATGGAGAGATGAGGAGAAGAAGGAGGAGGAGGAGGAGGAAGGGGGGAGGACGAGGAGGACGAGGACAAGGAAGAGGAGGAG